TATTGGTTTCTTTGTCTACATCTACCACATCTCATCTTTATAGTCCAATCTTTCAAGTCTTCAATTTCAAATAAATAAAAATGTGGTCTCATAGAAAACAAAGTTTTGGCTGGATTTAGCTGGAGTTTGACATATATTTGTATTTTAGCTGCAAACTGGGACAAGACTCTCTCCAATTCAGACAACCAGAGTGAAGTTAATGACTCAACCTTCCATCCTGCTGGGCCACCAGAGTCACCAATCAATGCTAATCCTGCAGGATCAAATGGTAAAAATTGATCTTTGAGAGTAATAAATGCTTGTGTATGTATTTGGCTTATGTTAGATAATTTCTCATTTGCTGTTTTCAGACATCTTCCAGTGTGATGCACAGAATCCTGCGCAGACATCAGAACAGTGTTCTGTTCCAGTAGGACCTGGTGGTGTGCTTCTCATTTTGTAAAGGCTCTTTAAATTTAATTGAATTTTGCAGTCAGTCACTTGCAGATTCTGAATGCCATGAATGTTAAAGGTTGAGAGATATAAGCAACTGACTCAGACTTATTTAATTGACTTCCCACCAGACATTTCCCAGTCAAGAGCAGAGGGTCCTGTGATATTCTTCTGGTGTTTTTTCCACACACAAACATATTTTAACCTGATATTTGTGGCTTTGCAAAATAAATTGAATGCTAAAATTTCTCAAATGCTGTGTGTGGTTGTATTTTGTCAATGTACAGTAAAAATTGATGTACAATTGCATTGATGTTTTTCAACATGGTGTTGGGGTAAACTGTATCTACCATACAAAACTGGGAATAGTATGCAAGTATGTTGGACTGTACGTGGCCCCTCTATAAATATTGTGGCCCCTTGATGGCCCCACCCTCAGAAAAATCCTAGATCCGCCACTGCTGGAGCCACCAGGATAACTCCATGTCATGGCTTTGAGTTTGTTACGAACGCTCCCGCCTCTCTTCTGCTTATTATTTGTGGTCTTATGGCACTTGGGAAACAACCATTTGGTGCATTACCGCCACCAACTGGATTGGACTGGAATGACTACCAACCACTTCCTGTTTGTGCATCACCGTCGTAAAGGAATAGTCCATTGTGGCATTAACAGAGGGGTGCCAGCAGTCAGGTCTAGGGGGCCCCAACATGAGGGGGCCCCAGGCAGCCGCCGACCTATGCCTAATGCTAAAACCGCCACTGAAAACGAGTCATAAATACGATCTACCAGTCTATGTGGAACAATAGTAGAAATTAGAGCGCGGTTCCCCAAAGGCAAAGTCTCGATTTGTTCATCTTGTTAAAACAATGAGAAGCATCACAGGTAATGTATGTATATGCTTTTTACTTTATGTCTGGGTTTTGTTCTCAAAATGACTCCCGCCAGTTTTATTTGAGATATTGCTGGAGTCATAGTTAACTAAGATGAGTTATTTTAGACCTGTAGACACCAGAATAAAGTATTTTGTGTTTTCTCCCTAAACACAGTTTGATATCAATAATTTACAGCTTCTGGAACGTGTCAGCAGCTCCTTGCCCCGGGCTTTCTCCTTCCTTTACAGCAGATTGCGTCATTCTTTTAAAGGAACCTCAGTAATTCCCTAAACTTTTAGAGATGTCGTCTTTTACCGACATTACTGTGAAGTTAAACTGATCGATGTTTTCTAAATCTGTCAGGAAACGTGGGAACGGCCAGTTTTCATGGCAATGACTGAACGTTTGAGTGAATTTTAACAGTTTATCGATACACAAAACGACTAGATGCTATTAATGTTTGTAGATCCGGTTTTGCCTCTTTGTTGGGACAAATAAAAAGATTACTTGCAGGCATATTTACTTTATTCTTCCTGAGTCTGTGGCATAAATATTGCTGCATAAATCTGGATACATTTTCAAATAAATCCTTCTCAGCATCTCCCTAAAAAAGCTCAAACAGGCACGGCGGTCGCTTCTAAATATATTCATAATTAAAGTCTCACAGGAGGAAACATTTCAATAACTTCTCTCCGCCATGGCGGGGAATCGGGGGCACAGATGGGCTCATTTTGAGATCCAAATGGAGATTACGCAAGCATAAAAGGAGCTACCCAGATTCTCATCAGAGCCTTTTGTCTTTCAGATTGCAGGACGGGAACCTCAGCAAGATGACTTGAAGACATGCAAATAGTTGTAATGAGCCAACGTGATTTTTCTAAACGTTTGAAGTGTTTTCCTGTTGGTGGCTCAAACCAAGCAGCTTTTACTTTAACTGTGACTTCCTCTGCGAGCAGCCTCGGGTGCGTGTCGTTCTCAGCGGCTCTCTGGCTTCTGATTTAATTAAATCTCTGAATCAAGACTCATTTCACTCGACCACACAATTACAGCAAAGAGCCCCAGAGAGGAACGGGCGTCGCACTGTAAAAACGACGTCTCAGAGGGATCTCCTCTGATTGGAAGGATGTTGTGGACGGTGATTTTTACTCTTTTCCTGAAGGGCACCCAACCTGGGGAACACGCTTCAGCTCCAAGTCCAGCTTTTCACTGACCTACATAAAAAGCTGAGAGCAGATTTGAGTTCGCTGTGTCCAACAAAGCAAAAACATCTCAGAAACACGTCCTAATCGACCTGACAGGAAACGCTTTACTTCAACCACTAAACTCAATGTTAACATTTAATGGGGTCATTCAGATCTTTTCAACCATGTTTCTGTGGAAAGGTTATAAACAGCGAGCACATACATTCAGCTCTAGATTGCAAAGCTAATGGGAGTCTGAGCGAGGCGGAGAATAAAGTCAGATTAAAAACATCTCCAGTCTAAAAAGGGAAGTGTTGATGACAACATTATAAGCCTTTACACTGGCACAAGCTTTGAATCAGAAGTTCTTGTGATAAAAATATAAAACTCCTTCTAAAAGTTTCCCAGGCTGAACCAAAGCTGTTCCCATAGCTGCCGCGACTGCTGGCGGCCATCGTGGCCGTGTCCTAATCTAGGGGCTGCATCCTCAAATCACAGCGATGCAACAAAGGGTGTCAAAGTTTGAAGGTTTCTCCAGATGCGGCTCGTAAATGCGTCCTTATTCAGTTTGAATGTGGAGGATGGGCCTGGTGTAGCTTTTACACACGTCTCACGGTGTTCTAATTAGGGATCCAATTACGTGATCAGAAATCAGGCCCAATCCCGCGGTTTTCAAAGGATCTGGAATCGGGTGGAAAAGATCGGATAAAATGTTAGGAAACGACAAGCGTGAACGTTTAAGTTCATCCTGAGGTCGAAAGTCTCAAGTGGAATACCAACGGCTTTCATTTGAACAGGTTCACAAGTTTCAGCAGGCAGGAATTCAGACACCATAACACGTAGCAGGCTAATGCGGAGCTAATGTCTGCAGTTTGGACGGATTTTAAACTGGACTACAACGCATCACAGACAGTCGTGCAACAGCCACTTGTCATTTGTGCATGTTGGCTATTTCAAGTGCTGGAAAAGATGGAGCTGCGCTCAACTCTACAAATCTGATTCGACATTTAAAAGCAAACTTCATCTTTCTCTTTGGGCTTCTCCCTTAAAGCTTTACATCAGCAACTCACATTTAGTTAAAGAGCAAGTCGCCCCCTACCAGAGTCCTACTCCACTCCCACTTCCTGTTTGAAAAGTGCAACAAATGCTGTTGCCTAGCAGACCGAGAGGGCGGAGCCGCTAACAAATACACACACACACACATGGGCTCACAACGACATTGTGACATCATATGGTACCAGCTAACGTTCTAGGGTAGCTCTTAGCCAATAGCGATGGCAGATTTAAATTCTACTGCAGTGCAGAGTTTTTACCTGACAACGGCACAGCATTGACAGTTTTAGGCAGAAAATTAAAATTTTAACTAAAATGCACTAAAGTGCGAAACTCAATGCACGTGTCTGCAGCACGATTAGACACGCTTTTATACAGTTTATCAGAAAAAAGTAGCTTTGGGGGTGACTTGCTCTTTAATGTCTGCCATCTTGAAAAAAAACCACCCTGCTCAATTCACTGCAGCAACTCGAACAAAAACATGGAGCAACCGAGAGAAAGATTCATTAAAAAAAACAAAGAGAAATTGCCAACAGACAAAACAGCCAAGCTAGCAGCATTTATTGGACTGCCTGTCTGTGGCAGCAAACGCTGAGTTTCGCTGGCGCCACGGTCTGAGTCGCCTTCTGCTTACTACACGCAGCTTTCAGGTGTTGTGCAGATACGATGCTGACTATTCAAGAGTACGTAGGGCTAGTTCCCTTCATTTCCAAAGTCCTAGCTAGAGGGCTAGCTCTGTAGCCACCATGGTTCACACCTTTTGAACATGGCTGGTGTGCTTAGACCTCCAACAATGTGGCTGTTATGGTAAATGTTTATGCCTGTCAATAGCTGATGCTAAAGCTAACTGTGTTAAGTAAATAAACATTTCATTTGAAATTAACTGCACTGTAGGCATTGTGCATAAAACAACATGAAGACTTTTAGATTCAACTTGTTGAACATCACAAAAATCCATTTTGGCCTTGCTTCGAACAGCCATTAGCTTATCAATCCAGTCTTTCTTTCTCTCAACTGAGGTTCATCGAAGAGATCTCTACATAAAACGTATAAGCTGTGCACGCTTTTTCCACAGCACCAGTTCTAAAGATCTGAGCTATTATTTTGAGTCTGTGATGGTTTGCAAAGCCCCGTGTTAAAGTCCACTATTTGGCTCCCAGTGTGGACAGACACAAGATAATTTGGACTATGGTGAAAAGCAACGTGAAGATGAGCAAATAAACATACAAACTTTTGTCCGATTAGACCACATTAGACGCTGTTGATGTCTCTGGGAATGTTAGCCAATGTTTACACAGTGATGAGAAAGAGATGTGTCCAGACAACAGAAAAGGAAACAGTTACACACACAGAAGAGCTCTGAGCTTTAAAGGCCTTAGACTCTCTCTCTCATCATGATCACACACTCCTGAGGAGGAAGGGAGGAAAGGATCGGGAGGCCACGGAGCCGGAGCATCTCACCTTTGTCTCTCTCTCCTCCAATAGGGTCTCGAGCCTCTTTTGAGCAGCCCGCCCCTCGTGGTCATCGCTCACGATCAGGATGATGTGGTTCCAGTTAAACTCGCGCATCAGGTCAAACCAGACATGGGCTTGGTGGGAGTAAGGAGGGACCGTCCTTAGGAAGGACAGATGGATGCTCTGAGGATAGATTAAGTGATTGTTAGTATTTAATTACTGCAGTCAGTCGCTGTTTCCCTCAACCCTCATTTAGCTTCTATAAGTAATGGAAACAACAAGGTAAGGGACAACGATGGTGGCCTTCATTCACTTTGGTAAAAAGATGTTTTTTAAGCAGAAATGGTCTTTTATGCAGCACCTCTCAAGATAAAAATCACAAGAACAAAACAAATTCATGAATGTAAAAACAAAATAAAGAAATTAAAAAATGACTAAATTGTTTTTAAAAATGGGAAAACTGTGATTAAAAACATGAGGAAAGGAAAAAAACAAATAAGGAAAAGGTAATCAGTGGATCCCGGGAAAGGCAGAAATGGAAGAACGAGCTGAATGAAGAGACGAAGAACCGAAGGTCACGCAGAAACCAGCCTGAGCTGTGAGGACTGAGTATTGTAATAATAAATGCATGTACATTATTATGATGATGATGATAATAATAATAATTATTATTATTATTACTAATACTGCTACTGCAATCATGTTCACTCATTAAATAATCTAAATAATTTAAACATCAGAAAAACAACTTCAATATTTTTCACAAGCCTCTAAACCAGAGACGGTGTGACAACAGGAAGCCTAGGCTCCTCCCCTTCCTGTTGGCTCATGGGTCCCTAAACGACGATATAAAACTATTTTCTAAACCACTTAGCCTTACACCCTGCTTCACACATTGTCACGTTGTGTGCCAAGAGGAGGTTAGGACCCAAAGATGCAGAGATTCCAGATGACACAGGGTGGGTAGAAATACCGTAAAATACGTTATTCCCAGAGACATCAACAGCGTCTAATGTGGTCCAATCGGACAAAAGTTTGTATGTTTATGTGCTCATCTTCACGTTGCTTTTCACCATAGTCCAAATCTGAGACCATGGTTCTCGACCGGGAAAGGGCGGCTTGCCAACTACGGGTCGGGGGAGAGGTCCTACCTCAAGTGGAGGAGTTTAAGTATCTCGGGGTCTTGTTCACGAGTGAGGGTAGGAGGGATCGGGAGATCAACAGGCGGATTGGTTCGGCGTCTGCAGTGATGCGGACGCTGAGCCGATCTGTCGTGGTGAAGAGGGAGCTGAGCCAGAAAGCCAGGCTCTCGATTTACCGGTCGATCTACGTCCCAATCCTCACCTATGGTCATGAGCTTTGGGTAATGACCGAAAGAGCGAGATCGCGGCTACAAGCGGCCGAAATGAGTTTCCTCCGTAGGGTGGCCGGGCTCAGCCTTAGAGATAGGGTGAGGAGCTCGGACATTCGGGAGGGACTCGGAGTAGAACCGCTGCTCCTCCGGATCGAAAGGAGTCAGGTGAGGTGGTTTGGGCATCTGGTCAGGATGCCTCCTGGACGCCTCCCTGGGGAGGTGTTTCGGGCATGTCCTGCCGGCAGGAGGCCCCCGGGTCGACCCAGGACACGTTGGAGAGGTTTCATCTCCAGTCTGGTCCGGGAACACCTTGGGGTCCTGCCGGAGGAGCTGGTGGAGGTGGCCGGGGAGAGGACGGTCTGGAGCTCCCTAGTTGGGATGCTGCCCCCACGACCCGGACCCGGATCAGCGGAGGAAGACGACGACTTTATTAAAGAATAAATCCAAAAAGGCAGGGAGCCAAAAACAAAATCAAAAGGTCCTAATAACAAAACCTGGAGATGTCCAAAAAACAAAAGAAACTAAGAGATACCAAAATCTAGAGAGGGGAACGGGGCAAGGGTGGCACAAACAATGACCCAACAACTAACAGAGACACAGACAGGGTTAAATACACTGGGGCACGATGGGTGGAAGATAAGCTGCAGGTGCGTGGGGAGAGAAACCTAGTGAAACCAATTAACCAATCAGGGAGAGGAAACTAACATGACCTAAGAGCAAAAACTAAACCTAAAGACAAGAAGAGCAAACCACCAAATAGTTCCTGAGTTTCTACCGCTGCAGCTCGCCGCTCCCCATGAGGACGGGTCAAATGTGGAGATAGAATTTCGCCAGTGAGTGATGACTTACGGGACTTTTACTTTAACTATACAACAGGATTTGAAAATAACTTTCATCCTCTGACTCACTCCCAATCCTTTTTTGGGGCAGTTGTAGGTGGGCGTGGCTTAGGCTCCCTAGCAGTCGCTAAGAAGACCAGCATCAGCAAATATAAACAAACAAATCAAAACCTGAATCATACAGTACTCAATACGAGTAATGATACTACATGACATTATTACCCAAGTAATGGTAAAAAGTACAATGAAAAAACTAATACTCAGAGTAAAGTGTTACCAGTATCACGAGTAACTGGTTACTTCCCACCTCTGCTCCATTTTAATGAAACATATATATAGATAGAGGAATTCAAATCAAAGTAGTGGAACGATTCTTTGACAAAACTGCTAATCAGGAACGTACTGGTGGGAGATAATCATCGGTCCTCGTACAGTATGTTTTATACTTCTACGGAAACAGAACACATGACTCTTTTGTTATTTCTTCACCAGATTTCTCCTGATTTACTCCACGGATGACGTTAAAGTTTCATTTCCGTGGCTTCGTAACATTCCTCTTAAGAGACGTTATTAACGGCAGGCTTTCAAGTTCCATCTGGAAAACCACTTAATCACAGCTGCCCTAATGGACACTGATGGGAAGTTTAATCTGGAAGCTTCTGAAGACACCTCAGAGGAGCTCCTTATTCCTCCCCTTCACTCTGTTTCTCTCTCTCTTTACTCCCCCGTTTACATCCATCACTCACCTTGTCAGAGTAGATGGACATGCGGGTGGTGAGCCCAACCACCGGGATGCGGTAGAAGCCGGCGGTGTAGGAGACGGGCGTCGGAGTGAGGTGGTCACTGGACTGAGGAGGGTGACTCACCAGGATGGCGTAGACCTACAGGGACAGGGGGAAGAACGCTTTGTCATCCGGCCTCTGCAAAACACCACCCAGACTCTGGAGTCCAGCAACCAACCTGTAAAGTTAAAGAGATGCTCTGTTTCCTTTCAAGGAACCAGACATTTCTGAATGATATTCTGTAGTGGTTCTGATAAAAATTCTTCTGGTTTTTCTAAAGTTCCTTCAGAGCTTTCATTTGGACTGTGGCTCTCATATTTAATTCAGGTTCTTGTGTCTTAGAGCTGTTCCAACTCTGTTGTTCCAAATCCTTCTCAAACCAATTCTGACCTTAAAGGAACAGGTTGGAGCATCAGGATTAGTACCCTCATCAGAAACCTACCTTCTCCAGTCTAAAACATGCCTACTGCCCCCTGGTGGAGGATCTGCAGGTGGATCTGCTGGAGGATCTACATGTGGATCTGGTGGAGGATCTACATGTGGATCTGGTGGAGGATCTACATGTGGATCTGGTGGGGGATCTAGGATCTACATGTGGATCTGGTGGAGGATATACATGTGGACCTGGTGGGGGATCTAGGATCTACATGTGGATCTGGTGGAGGATATACATGTGGATCTGGTGGAGGATCTACAAGTGGATCTGGTGGAGGATCTACATGTGGACCTGGTGGAGGATCTAGGATCTACATGTGGATCTGGTGGAGGATATACAAGTGGATCTGGTGGAGGATCTACACATGGATCTGGTGGAGGATCTACAAGTGGATCTGGTTGAGGATCTACATATGGATCTGGTGGAAGATCTAGGATCTACATGTGAATCTGGTGGAGGATCTACATGTGGATCTGATGGAGGATCTACATGTGAATCTGGTGGAGGATCTACATGTGGATCTGGTGGAGGATCTACATGTGGATCTGGTGGAGGATCTACAAGTGGATCTGGTGGATGATCTACATGTGGATCTGGTGGAGGATATACAAGTGGATCTGGTGGAGGATCTACATGTGGATCTGGTGGATGATCTACAAGTGGATCTGGTGGAGGATCTACATGTGGATCTGGTGGAGGATCTACATGTGGACCTGGTGGAGGATCTAGGATCTACATGTGGATCTGGTGGAGGATATACAAGTGGATCTGGTGGAGGATCCACACGTGGATCTGGTGGAGGATCTACAAGTGGATCTGGTTGAGGATCTACATATGGATCTGGTGGAAGATCTAGGATCTACATGTGAATCTGGTGGAGGATCTACATGTGGATCTGATGGAGGATCTACATGTGAATCTGGTGGAGGATCTACATGTGGATCTGGTGGAGGATCTACATGTGGATCTGGTGGAGGATCTACAAGTGGATCTGGTGGATGATCTACATGTGGATCTGGTGGAGGATCTACATGTGGATCTGGTGGATGATCTACAGGTGGATCTGGTGGAGGATCTATATGTGGATCTGGTGGAGGATCTAGGATCTACATGTGGACCTGGTTGAGGATCTACGTGTGGATCTGGTGGATGATCTACATGTGGATCTGGTGGAGGATCTATATGTGGATCTGGTGGAGGATCTAGGATCTACAGGTGGATCTGGTGGAGGAACATCCAATTAATTTCTAAAATCAATCAAAAACAAATATTATTAATGAACCCTTTCAGGGTTTAAGGGGCAGAGTCGGATCTTAGATCCTGTTGTTTTTCTGCGTTTATACTTTTTTGACCTTCATAGACATTTAATCTATCTTTAATTTTTGATTGTTTGAATGAATGAATGAATGAATGAATGAATGAATGAAATTTCTTATTGAAGATCACTAAAACCTCTTAAACACACATTTGTTTTAGAAAATGTGGTGATTCTAAAATTAAATATTGTTTAAAAATATGAAATTTGAACTCAGTAAAAAAAAACTAACACCTTCATGGATTCACGGTTTCCTAACCCATAACATTATGTACTGCTGATGGAAATATCTGAAGACCACCAGCTATTGTCTGATTTTGTGCCACACACTGAGCTTTTATATTTATAACACTTAAAAAACATTTATTAATGATTATTTCAGATTATAATAGGTCCCTTTGAGTTTTTAATGCAGGCTGAACATTAAAAAAAATCTCCTACACCTTGTGGGATGCAAAAGTTTGGGCACTTCATGATTTTCATGTATAAATCGTTGTTTCCTAAAATAAAACAAATCGGTTGAATATATAATTTAGGAGACACACACAGTGATATTTGACAAGTGAATTGAAGTTCATAGGATTTACAGAAAGTGTGAAATAACTTTTCTAACAAAACCAGCCATGTGAAAAGAGTGAACTCATTATTTAGTAGGTCCTTCTTCTTCAGAAGTAACAGCCTCTAAATGCTTCCCGCAGCTTTCAGCGAGAGTCGGGATTCTGCCTGAAGGTAGTTTGGACCACTCTTCTTTACACAACAGTTCATTCAGGTTTGATGGCTTCCGAGCCTGGACAGCATGTTAATCATGAAGATAACAAGGCTGCTCAAACTTTCACATCCCAATGTATCTCCTGCATTAGCTTCTGATAGAAAATAGATGGTGAAATGCTAGGGTCTGAAAAGCCTGACACTGTGACATCACACTGTCACTAACATTCATGGACTCACCCATCTTGATTCACGATGGGGAGGGTTGTTGTTAGTTTAGCATCCAGAAAACAGCAGAGAATGTCTCAACTAGCAGAAGCTAACTGTTAGCATTAGCAACTCCACCATACAGCAGAACTCCTCCAGGCTTGTGTTATTAGTGGAGATAAAGCATCAATGTTGCAGAGCAAACTGAGTCAGTTGTGGAGTTGTGTTGCTTCATAGCCAATCAGAGGAGAGATGTCCAAATATCAGGAAATGAGCTCAGCAGTGATGTGGTTCACTTCTGGTTCCTGGAAATGGTGCACCGGTGTGCCCCACCCCGGGGCATTTCTAGACACCACTGCAAATGTATTGAGTGTTTCACGCCTTTAATGTGCTTCGTATTTCTGCTTCCTGTCCAAGTTTATTTGCAAATCATGTCAAACTTTAGTTCACAAAAACAAACCAGCTAAATGTGAACTTAAAACAAATTTGGTGGAAAAAAAAACTCAATAAATTAAAATAATTTACCCACTGAAGGACAATAAAGATATTTTCTATTCTAAGGAACCAAATGACACTTTTTTTTTTTTTGGTTATTCCATTCAAGGTTCGTTTCATTCTGGTGGTGATTTAAGTTCTGGTACTGGACTTTCTGTCCCTGCAGCTTATTTTGTTTCACTTATTTTAACCCAACATTAATCATTTAAAGCAGTCACTTGTTGCCTTTCTTAACCACTTATGTACCGGTCCAGTTTCTCTCTTTACAAATGGATCCGGTGTCAGAACTCAGAAATGGGGTGATCATCAGCGCCAGCATGGTGGAGCAGATTGTAATACTGTTGCCTTGCAGCGGAAAGGTTGCAGGTTCTAATCCCAGCTGCAGCCTTACAGCGGAAAGGTTGCAGGTTCTAATCCCAGCTGCAGCCTTACAGCGGAAAGGTTGCAGGTTCTAATCCCAGCTGCAGCCTTACAGCGGAAAGGTTGCAGGTTCTAATCCCAGCTGCAGCTTTTCTGTGTGGAGTTAGCATGTTCTTACCATGTATGTGATGCTCCAACAAACCAAACACATGCTTGCTAGGTTGGTTGGTGACTCTAAAAGGCCCGTAAGTTTTGTGTGACTGGTTGTCTCTGTGTGTCCCTGTGATGGACTAGACCTGTCCAGGATGTCCACCAGTGCCCCCACTGGGGATGAAGCGGTTCAGATAAAGAGCGACAGTGCATCAAAGCTGAGAACATGGAGGTTATACGTACAGGGAGGGCGATTAACAGGACGAGACACAGCTGGCTGATTAAAGCTGCAACAGCAAATCTGCAAAGGAAGCCGGCACAAATGTGTTCTCGGAGCTCTCACCCCACCGCCGGCTGTCATCCCCAGATCACGTCCACCAAATACCAGAGCCCGCAAAGCCTTTGTAGCTTTAAAGGATGCAGAACAGGTGTGAAGGCAAGGAAACGCCAGAGAGGCAGTGGAAAACATGAATTTTTAAAGAAAACAGGAACTATCAGAGGAAATTTGGGTCACAGAGGTATTTCTGATTGAGTCTCAGTGACACCTTAAAGCATTTTCAAAAGGAAAGAAACAGGAAGCAAAGCTGAAGGTAACAAAAAAGCACGATAACCCTAACCCTCACAAACGAACCTCCGATGCCGTCAGCTCCACCTCAGCAGTAAAGTCTTATCCGCTCACTGGGACATGATTCCTGTCAGCTTCTATAAAACCGTGTTAACACGGCTCTTCCTCCACCCTGGAGAAAGTTCCCCTTCATGAGCAGCCAGCCTTTGAGCTGAACTCCAGCAGCTGATTTATACCTTGTTACATCACATGTGTTGATATTCAAGCAGCAGAAACTGCCTGCATTAAAAAACAAACACTCCCCATCCTGATGCGTCCCGCGGCAGCTGCACACCACTCCAGCTTCGGCTCAAACATCTGCTTTACTTCAGCTGAAGAGGAACTCAATTCACTGATGCTGTAAACGCAGTTTAGTCCTCGCCAACGAGAGCAACTGCTGCTGCAGAAATGTAGGAAAGGGTCTTTCTGAGCCACAGAGGGCAAGCTGAAAATGTATTGTGTGGATTTAAAACCAAACTGCCTTCTCTTCTGTAAAAGCAAGAGGTGGAGGAAGTTCTGGGAGATGGGTTATGGGTAGGGTGATAAAGTTGGCAAAGCCCATGCAGGCATGGATTATTGGATCGGAGCGGTCCATATGGTTGGGTCAAAAATGAGGTCTGTCTTCCGAGGACTGCTGCCGGGCTTCTCCATCTGCCCCAGAACCTCCTCCCCAGCGAACGTTATCACCTAGGGGCTAATCTCCTCTGACGAAATCCTCCAGTTTAGTCTGGATTATTTTCCCGTTTCAAAGAGATCTAGTGGGTCAAGTTGATGCTTTGGATTGACGTGTTGCACCAGGATGGGAAGGCAAGGATTTCTTCTGCATCCGAGGACACGAGGAAGGCTCTGCAGCCGTGGGTTGAGGCTTAAAAACTGAGAAACCTTAATGATGTGTGTGGGAGAGACGGGAGAGAAGAACAAACTTCACGCCTCAACACGCTGCGTCATAAAGTTGTTGTTTGTGAGCACTGCTTCACGGTCGGAGCGTCCCAGGAATCCTGTCATGCATTACTTATGGAATTTGTTTAGTGAATGGCATTAAAGCCCGAGCAGACGAGGCGCAGCGCAAACACAGACTTACAACCAGCTGCACTTTCTCAGCTCTGACCAGATCCGCTGCACTCCAGTACATCTGCAGCTGCGCGCCCTGAAATGTGCAGCACTCCGATCATCTGAAATGTGCCTCAAAGCAGGGGCTATTTTTGGTCATCAGAGCAGATGGATCTGTGGGGGAAATCACTCTTAACAAGCAACACAGACGAATACGCAGCGTGAGGTGCAAAGATGGAGGTCTATCGAGTCTTCTGATGAACTTTTAGGTGTATTTGTCACGTTGCAAGGCTGGTAGGACCCAAAATGCAGTTACCCAGGATGACACGAGGCAGGAGTTGAATATATATAAAACATCTTTTTATTTTAGGATGAGCCAAACAACAAAACTCTACCCCAAAGGCTGGAAGCCAAAAATCCAAGAATCCAGAGAACGATCTGGAAATCCAAAAACACAAGAGGCACAAGAAGACTTAGACAGAATTATCACAATGGACCGACACCAAACAGAGACAAGGCAGGGCTTAAATACACAGGGAGAACAATTAAGGAAACAGGAAGCAGGTGGAGGGAAGGCAGGTGATAATAATTATCTAAATGGAAACAGAACCAAAGGAGGACAGATAAACCCAAAGCTATAAACACAAAACCAAACTAAAGGACTGCGGAAGAACACACACACACACACACACACACACACACACACACACACACACACACACACACTGAACTGGGGAAGGACACGTGCACACACACGCACGCACACACACACACACGCCGAGATGGGGAAGGGCACGCGCACGCACACACACACACACACACGCCGAGATGGGGAAGGACACGTGCACACACACGCACACACGCACACACACGCCGAGATGGGGAAGGACACGTGCACACACACGCACACACACGCCGAGATGGGGAAGGACACGTGCACACAAACGCGAGCACACACACACACACACACACACACACACACACACACACACACACACACACACACACACACACACACACACACACACACACACACACACACACACACACACACACGACCTGGGAGGAAATGCTTTTAAAAGGGCTACAAACAGAAGACACATCACTGAGATGCAGACAAAGGACACAAGAGGGCGCTATGAGACACAAAAGGGAATCAAGAGAGGGATGGAGAACATCAGGAGACACATGAAGGAAGACGCAGACGCAGACCATGACAGTATTTTGGTTTGCTGAATCTGATTTTAGAACAAAAGACTGATTATCTTCCGTTTGTAATCCTGAGGGAATATTTTGTCTCTGTTCCTTCTAAAGCAGCCCGATCACACGCTGTAAGCCGATGTGACTTGTCTGCGATTCTTGTGGAAATCTTTTAAGTTTTGAGGGAAGTTTTGGTCTCTTGCCCATCTAAAACATGCAGCTGTGACCCTGGAATAGGAATTTTTGTAGAAATGGTCGTTTTTGCCCGTAAAACTAGACTGTCTGCAGCTTTGATCCTTATTGGCTCCAGATTTTTGTGAGAGCTTTGAGCTTTTGTAGGAATTATTCATCTCTTTTCTTTGTTAAGAAGCCATACTGCACGCAGCTAATGACATCTTTAGTTTTTCAGAGGTGTTTAGTCTCTTTTGCACCAGAGACAGACACATCTCTTGCAGCTGTAACCCTGGAGAATGGGACGTAGATTTTTCTTGGAAATCTTGGTCTCTCACAAGCAGTTATGGCCATAGATAATGAGTTATAGGTTTTGTTTTTATCCATTTTCCTCCTAAAACATCCGTATTACATGCAGCTTTAACCATGGAATACTCAGAATTGTTCTTAAATTATATCCTTCTCATCTTATTTAAGAAGTGGGAAGGCATGCAGCTGTGAACCTTTAGGAATCCTGGGGAACATTTATATTTTCAGTCTAAAACCTCCTGAGCACTTGCAGCTGTCACCATGAAATATGACTTTCAGAAATCCTGAGAGAACTTTCAGCTTTTTTAGGAATTCTGTCTCTTTTCCACCTACAGCAGCCTGGAATTATGATTTTTGTGGGAATTCTTTTTCTCTTTTTCCCACCTGCAGCAGCCTGATCCCATGCAGCTGGTGTTGCAGACATGAACAGAGCAGCTGTGTGTGATGAGAAGAGAACCGAACCTGACTGGAGATGAGGTCCTCGCAGACGGACAGGGCCATCTGGATGGCGTTGGGCTTGTGCGTTACGGAGATCGCGGTGAGCTTGAACTTGTCCCGACCGTAGACCTGATTGGCCTGGTTCACGGCATCCTTGAAGACCTGCTCGTACCTCTTCTGGCTCAGGACGGCCCCGATGTTCACGATCTTCGGCTCGCAGCCGGCCCGCGCGCAGGAGCACGAGAGGAGCACCGCCAGCAGAAGGAGACGCATGGCGTGAACCACCAAACAGCACAGCGCAGCCCGGTCGCTGTTCTCCCCGGTGGCGGGTCGGCTCGGCTCGGACAGATGAGCGCAGACACGATCCAGGTGGGCGGCGTGAGCGAGGGGGGGACGCCAGAAAAGGAAGACAAAAAACCGGAGGGGGGAGAAAGGGTTGGTTATGTGCAATGCAGAGGAATGTGCATGATCGTTTTAGGGACTTGGTGTCCCGCGGGCACCCGACCCCGCAGAAAGCCTTTGGGTTCGTATAGAAAAATAAAAATGATTGCTCCCGGTTCCGAGCGGCTTCCCGCGGTGCTGTCTCTCCGTGCAGCCGCTGCTCCTGCCTTGTGTCCGGCCTGGTCTCGCCTACGCGTGGCGGGCTGGTCGCTCCGGGCTGAGCGGCTGCTGTCCTTGGTGCTGACAGCTGTGCGTGTGCGCGCGCTGCTCCTGCGCGCTCCCGCTCTAGCACAAGGTTTTTTTTTCTTTTGGCGCGTTGGCGTGCAGCGATGCTGCTGCTGAAGAAGAAACCGATGACAGGAAATAAAGATGTTTTATTACAAAATACTCCAGAATCCTCACGAGAGCGAGGATGTGAGGGAGAGTCTCTATTCAGACTGTCTTCAGAACACACACACACACACACACACACACACACACACACACACACACACACACACACACACACACACCACTCTATAGCCCCCACCATCAGGCTCATCCTCGCAGCTATAAAGACATGAGCCGAATCAACCTCACGGTTGCCTTGGAAACAAGATTTTTGCAATAAGCGCGCGCGCTGATGAGCTCGTTCACCCAATGGGAGATAACTGGTGGTTTCGTCAACCAGCAGGAAGAAGTGAAATAAACGCAGCAGAAAAATACGAGTTTTCATCTTCAGACTGAAGAAGCACAGATTCTGGTTTTCGAGGCTGATACCAAGTTGTGATTTTTATTTATTTATTTATTTTGTGCATCTTTGGGTTTCAGATCCAGATTTATTTCAACAAATAACAAAACTGTTTTTTTTAATTAAGGATAAGATTATGAGTTTTATAATGCCTGATATTAGGTATAGCATTAATTAGTCTTTATTGATGTTAGTTCAATGACCTGGAAACAGTCTGACTTTGCTTTGTTGCTTTTGGCAATGGTGCATTCACAGACCCTCCCAAAATCAGATGTTTGAGTGATCGGCCAATTCTGATATCAAGAACATTTGTCGGTGCTCTAGTTTGAATATCATTTGATTTGCACTTCCTGTTGAAAACAAAAATAAATAAGCAAGATGGTGTGAGAGGTTCTCCACTCAATAATATCAGAGAAGGAGAAACAGCCGGCTGCTACCACTTCAACTTTAGGACAAACGACCAGAGTCCCGAACAGAAAAACACCGTTTGAAGTCACAGACAAAAACCTGGTAAACGGCGACTTTAGCATTTCTTCAGATTTTGTTCTGTTGTTATTTTTAAACCTCATACATGTTCTAGCTGTATCTGAAGCTGCTCCCATCAGGATTTCGGCAGAAGTCCTTCAGATTAATACATTTTCATGATATAATCACATACAGTATGTGGTTTAAATACATCACATCACTTTATGTTGAGTAACTATCACTGCTTAAGAAGTGAATCTCATCATGTCACACGGGTTTTGCTGCCCACCTATTGCCTTCACGCCAACTCTTCGCCTTTTTATTCTTATTATTCTGAATAAGAGCAGATTGGCCCTGAACATAAAGGTTTTTCGTTCAAGTTAGTTCTGAGAGGTCACACAGGTAGCATCAGCAGGTAGGATCCAGAAAAAAAGGGTTAAAGTTACCTGGAGCAAAGCAGGAACGACCAATAAACCAAAGGATGTGCTAAATAAGCAGGTGCAGCAACAGGTTAACAAAGAGCTGAAAGCCTGAGGGATAACGCGGAGGCTGATTACTGAGTGATTACAGGTGAGTGACTACAGGTGAGTGATTACAGGTGAACTGAAGTGAAAACAGACAGGAATCCAGGATGTAAAAAGGCTGAATATTCTCTTAAATCTCAGCGTGAAGTGATCATAAACAGTTTAGAAAATAACCCACATACAGCTTTTTCCATTACACTATAACCAAAGACTGATGTTAGTCGACTTTACGTTTAAATCTATCAAACATGGCCGTCTCGGCTTCCACTGGAGGGTAAAAATAGTGAAAGTCAGATCCAGAGGGAGAGACTGATGACGCTGCTTCAAAAGGATAAAAACTTGGGTTGTGTTTGAATAAACTAGAGATCCATCTTGCTGTCCAGGACTCCGGTCGTCTGTGTCTCCTCTGGGGACTGAACACACTCAGCTGTGAGATGTTTGTGCTCCTCGTAGTGAGTAAACAGAAACCCCTGGAGGGCCCAAACCCACTCTCTTAAAGCATCTCATCCACGGACAGGAAAATAAAAGGGCTCTTCGTGTCATCACGTCCCTAAAAATAACAACAAGAAAGTTTTAAAGGTAAACAGCAGCAAATAATTATCCTCTCAGCCAGAACGTGACTGTCACAGCCTCTTTGGTCCCAGCGGCACGAAGGCTGCTTATTAGACGAGTCCTCCGCTGCTGCTACTCTGGCCCACTCATCCACACACCCATAACGCCGGACGGACACACACACACACACACACACACACACACACACAATAAACCATGAAGATTCACACACATGAACACACCAGTCTTTAAGCTTCAGCCCACACAGAAGAATACACACTCATTCCACCCACACTCCTCAGTAGGAATAGGGAAGGGATGTGGTGTGTGTGTGTGTGTGTGTGTGTGTGTGTGTGTGCGTGTGTGTGCGTGTGTGTGTGTGTGTCTCAAGGCTATGGAAATCTTTCCACAGCCATATTCTGGGTTCTTGTCTACAAACAACTATGTGTTTTGGAGACATACGTGTCAGATTTGTTATTTTATGAGTAAATAAACATTTATATGATTTTATATGTTTTGTTTGTAAATAATTCACTTTGGACTGCACAGTGGCACAGTTGCCTTGCAGCCTGGGTTCCCCCTGTGCATGCGTGGGTACTCTCTCTCTCTGGGGATGCCAACTTCCTCCCACAGTCCAAATACATGACTGTCAGGTTACTTGATCTCTCAAAGGTGTGTGTGTGTGTTTGGTTGTTTGTCCTGTGAGTGTTGCCGTGCGATGGACTGGCATCCTGTCCAAGGTGCACCCCATCTGCCTGCCTGAAGAATGCTGGAGATAAGCACCAGCCCCCCGCGACCCTGCGTGGATAAGCCAGCATAGAACATGGATGGATGTATAATTCAGTTTGAAGTAGAGGTCTGGGTCTCTACTGGCAGCGAGGCGATGACTGGACCTAGAGAAGCTGCACAGGCATCATCCCTGCCTCCTGGATGAGATTCCAGGAGGCAGGGATGAACTCTGGGAGAGCAGGACCGGTATCTGCGCATTTGTGGTTTTTCTCCTCCAGTGAAACCTGATGTAAGGTCTTTGATTCCTTTGGGCAGTTTATTTAGCACAATTTCCACATTAAAGCTTTTATATTTGTCCATTTGAACATATGAATGGAAAACACACACAGTTCTAGTAGACAGCCCTTCTCAGTCTAGTAGAAATGTAACAAGGCCCAGCTTTGATGAAGGCTGTAGACGGTTCAGGGAGGTTCTGCTCAGACACGTGAAAAGAGAGTTACAGTAGCCCAAGCGTGAGGAGATGAAGGTGTGGAGAAATGTCCCGCTCTGAACTTGAGACAGTTCTCCACACCTTCATCTCCTCACGCTTAGACTACTGTAACTCTCTTTTCACGTGTCTGAGCAGAACCTCCCTGAACCGTCTACAGGTGGTTCAGAACGCCTGTGCTCGGCTTCTGACCAAGTCCTCCAAACACACCCACATCACCCCGCTTCTCCTCCAGCTTCACTGGCTGCCAGTCAACTTCAGGGTTCATTTCAAGATCCTGGTTCTGGTCTATAGGGCCTTACATGGACAAGCACCATCTTACATTGGTGATCTTCTTAGTCCCTACACCCCCAGCAGGTCCCTGAGGTCCAGTGACAAAAGCCTACAGGTTGTGCAGCACCAGGCTAAAGGTCAAAGGTGACAGATCATCTGCTGCTGTGGCCCCCAGACTCTGGACCTCTCTCCCCCTGAGCCTGAGATCAGTGGACTCAGTGGTCTCCTTTAAAAAGCAGCTGAAAACTCACTTGTTCAAGCTGGCTTTTGTATGACCTTCTTCACCTCTCTCTCTTTATTCTGCTCTCCCCACCTATTCCACCTTCCTCAGGATCCACTGGTTTCCCTCTTTCCTGTTCACTCTCTCTCTTTCTTAACATTTTTAATCACAATTGTCTATTTTTGCTCATTTTAAATATATTTTTAACCATTTTCTAAATGTTTTTTTTATATTTTTACATGTTTTGTTTTTGTGAAGCGCCTCGTGATTTGTATCTTGAGGGGCGCTATAGAAATGATGTTTTCTTCTTCTTCTGTGCTGTTCCTCAGGGGTTTCTCATTTCCTTCTTTATGCTGAAACGCTGTTTCTGCTGCATTTCTGCCCCCATAAAAGGACTCCGGTCGTCCTCAGAGGGAGATAACCTCATTTTCATTCTGCTTGTTAGTGAAGACAAACAATTGTGTTGTTGGTGAATCATCCATGTTTGAAACATGCAAAGTGGGAGTGAAGTGGAGAACTGAGAAGACGGAACAAGCTGCTCTTCAACTCCTACATGCTTCAGCCCTTAGCTCCAGCTCCTGGTGTTAGTGTCGGCGCCGCAGCTAACCGAGCAGCGAGTGGAGAACCGGACGAGCGATGGCGAGGCCGTCCACGGGCTCGTAGCTGACGGACACCTCTAGTTTTACATGTGACCGATGGAGGAGGCGGAGCAGGTCATGCTCCACCTGCGCTCTGACACAGATGATGCAAATGAAAGGCCTGATGCAGTCGTGTGCAGATGGATGCCGTCGTCTCTGATGTGTTTCTCGTGTATGGCGAGGTATCTGCATCAATTATAAATGTCCGAGCCCTCCGGTTTGTTGCTGATTGCCTTTCGTGGTGAGGCTGAGTTGAAGCAGTCGTGCTGCAGCAGGCAGCAAAAACTTTTCCTAACGGAGTTTTTAAAACACTCAAGCGTCCTGAGGGAAGCTGCAGGCTTTACTACTATAGGTACATTTCTGGTTTTGTGTTAGAAAAGCCCGCTAGCTATACTAACATGTGCTTCTGTCGCTTGAATATTTAGTTTGGTTGAGAAAGATTTCTGAGTGGAGCTAGATGTAAATTAGACCACCACCGTGTTCGATTTTTCATTCTGAGAGTAATAAAATATGTTGATACTAATAATTAAATATCCAAACCCTTAGAATGGATAGTTTAGTCAATTATAAACGTGTAAAAGTTATGAATAATTACCAAGTTACCTGTTAGAAAGCTCCCTGTACAGCTACAGATCACAAATAAAAGAGTTACTGTAACCTTTAATAAATTCTCAATAGAATACAAAGGCATTCAATAAATGTAATATTCCATTAAAATTTGGATTATCAACATTATTGAGCCTTTAATATTAGATTGATGATGAAACTGGGTAATTTGGGTTAGGGTTAGGAGAGACTGGCGTTTGGTCCTAAC